TAACCCAACGGGAAGGTGTCCTTGGTTATTCTGTGTGTATCTTGAACCTCCATGCAGTAACTAATAATTGACCTTGCCATAGAATCTGGTGAAACCATTGTCATTACCAATAAAACCTATTCCCATTTCTTTCCCATGAGTGAGGTGCATTGTGTCACTCACCCCCCCCACCACTCGTTCCATGACAGGGGCCTGCCTCTGGTAGAGGAGAGGAAGAGAAAGGAATGGGTCTTTGCCTTGGGGATGCTGTGCTGCCAGGGCAGGAAGGATGCCACTGCTGGCATGCACCACGCGGTCCTCCAAGCAACTGAGGACTTGTCTGAGGATGCACTATTCAGCATCCTCCTTTTGCTCTCACCAGCAAAGTGCTTTGAAACTAGGCCCAGGCAAGCCTGTCCCCCTTTCTGCTTGGATTGGAGGAGCTGGAGGCAGCCTGGCACCAGGACAACAGTGGCACAAGGTCGACAGTTACCACCCCCATGTACTCACAGGCTACGCTGGGCATCAGCAGCCACCTCTTCTCGCAACCCCTGAGCCTGTCAGGACAGGTGTCTCGTCCCCAGCAAACACTGGGACACCATTTTATGTTACGGGTGAAACTTGTCTAGGCCCCTTCTGCTGGCAGATGCAAGGGATAGTTTGTTTTTTCTTCATGCATAGACAAATACAGGTGTATATATAGCAAATATTTGCAGAAAGAAATATATATAAGACCTAAATGTATCTAGCCCCTTTATCCACATCCTATTCAAAAGTGTAGATATAAAATGTATAGAACATTTTTTTAATAGGAGTCAAGGAAATGAATAATTACAGTTGAAATATGAATACAAAACAATTAAACGAAATGGTTTTTCTAGTCCTCTTTAACATAAGGGGTCCTTGTCTTTAACATAAGGGATTAAGCCCTGTCTTGTCTGGGTTGGGAGTAGTTCTCAAGGGCAGGAGATATCTAAATTTGGTGGGGAGCTCCCTGACATCTCTTGCTAACTTTAATTCCAAAAGGGTCTTGGTCTTCCTCATTGCATCACAGAATCACGGAATCACAGAATTGTTAAGTTTGGACGAGACCTCTAAAGATTATCTAGTCCAAATTAAATTAAATGGTGGTTTGAAAGTCCTCTTTAACATAAGAGGGCCTGATCTTTAACACAAGTGAATAACTCTGTCTTGTCTGGGTTGGGAGTAGTTCTCAAAGGCAGGAGGTATCTAAATGTGGTGGGGAGGAACAACTAGGAGGGTCTCTGAGGGCTATGGGGTGTGTCCTGGGAGGCCACCAAGGGCCAGGCCCCTGGGCAACCAAGGCCCAGTGCCAGGCGGAGATCAGCTTGGCAGAATGACCATACAGGGCTGTGGGGGTGACCCCAATCTCAGTGCAGTACTTCCAGGCACAGGCAACACTGCTCACAGGAAGAGGAAACCAGAACAAAATGTCCTGGTCAGGGGAATGTGGGCATGGAGATGGGGGGAATCTCCCAAAGGGAGTCTCAAAAAAGACCCTGTGAACCTCAAGGACTGGATGATGGGCCTGTGAATCAGAAACTGTGTCTTGGGCTAAGTGTCTCATGGAGATGTACTCTCCTTGCTCATAGCTGTGGGCGGTGTTACAGCTAGCGGTCAGACCATTGCAGGGCCAGACTGGTGCTGCATGTGTTCCTCTGCCTTAATTTGATGATCTTATGGAAAGATTCAGAAGGCTCTGGATGAGTGACTGAGGAGGGAGAAGATGGTGATTCTCTTTGTGTTCCTGTCCTGTGTGCAGTAGCCAAAGAAAGGAGAATGGGACATAGGTGTGTTAGTGCCCTTTGAGGGGGAAAATGAAAACTGGAAAAACACTAGAGAGAAGAAACGTCATGGAATGAGTGGTGGTGTGGGATGAGTTATGCAGTGCACTTCATTCATATGAGAGAAATAATAGTATGTTTTATTGGTATGGACAGTGGTTCTAACAAGATTGAATGGCAAGATCAGTGTTACTGCCAGGAGGACAAGTCTCTACAAAATTCCCATGAGCCACCAAGGACTCTTCTTGAGTCATGGGGTTCAAACTGGAACCCCTGCTTTCCAAACTGAGAGGGGCCTGGGTGCATCTGGATCCAATCTTAGTCCCAGGCTGGGTCAGTGGTTTATTCCTAAAGGATTATGTACACAATCAATCCCAGATACCATTTAGTAAACGTTAAAAAGTTTTGGAAAGTTTCATCATGCTATGTTCACTTACGATGCATCTGCCTCTGGTAAGGATCTGTCTCCTAAACCAGCAGAGGGGTATCACAGTGGTCTGTGCCAGCCTGTCAGCGGTGGCGTCTCACAGTGCAGGTCTGTGTGACCGTGCAAGCGGTGACGGGTCACAGTGGTGGTGAGTCACATGGGTGACCCTGGCTTATAAAAAGGCCTGTGTTGTCTAGGCAGCCCCTGGCTAAAGGCATCGCCTCAATGTACAGGACAGGTGAAGACAAGACGTCAGAGCCAGAGGAGAAGGAGCCCCAGGGCAGGGGAGAAGGGGCTTGCGTGGGGCTGGAGCAGCAGCAGCAAGGGGGACTGAAGTCTGCGGTGCTGGGCCTGGGTGGGAAAATCATCGTGCATTCACTGTTCCCCCAGGGTCAGCAAACAAGTGTCTGGAGTGAAGACCTCAGCACTGCTGAGTCAGGGCTTTTCCAGAGCACTCCGTGGTGACCCATATTGTGTGCGCTTGCCATGAAGCGCAAGGCCCCCGACTCGAGGGAGGAGGGTGAGAGCAGAAGCACCTCGAGCACCCTGCAGCCCTTGGCGGGGTGAAGGCCTCATGGGGCTGTTGGTGGGCGGCTGCGAGCGGTGGCAGGGAGGCAGGAGCTGTGCAGCATCCCCGTGGCAGGGCTCATCCTGTGCTGTACACGAGGGCTGGGGCACGGGCAGGACTGTGCAGGCAGGGAGGGCTGTGTGAGAAGGAAAGGCCATTTCAGGGCTGATCAGGTCTATCTGGGGACAGGGGGCCCCGGGAAAGGGCAAGAGGGCGCTGGGAGAGGCAAGGGGAAGGCGAGGGCGGGTTACATGTGGGAGCCCTGAATGGAGGCCAGAGCAGGAGGCTTCTGTGGGTCAGCATGGGGCTGTTGGGCAGCTGTCAGTCCCACAAGGGCCTTTGGGCAACTGGGCAAGAGTAGCCCCTGTGGGGGAAGCCCTGCAGCAGCCTTTTGCAGCCCCCAGCGGGGCGCTCAGTGGCTGTGCCCTTTGCTGTTCTCTCCGCAGCCTGCGTGCTGTGTCACCGGGCCGACTCAGACTCAGAATTGTATGGGGAGAAATGGAGCAAGGACGGTCTCTGTGCCCATGAGAACTGCCTGGTGAGTGTCCCTAGGGCTGCCTCCAGATCCCTGATGATGTCCCAGCCCAACAGCCTGTGATCTCCACGGCCAGACAGGCAGGCTTGGCATGTGGGGATGTGCCTGGGTTTGTGGGAAATCCCATCCCAAGAGCTATGTGGCTGTTGACTCCTCAACACCTTTTGGAGGCCTCTGCACTGCAGCTTGCTGGGGAGCTGAAAGCCCAGCAACACTGCAGCTCTCCCTGCACCAAGGAAATGAGCATGACCTTCCCCAGCCCTCTCACCAGGCTCTTGGCACCATTTGCCAGCAATGCACCTGCCTGATCTAACAAACTGTGGGATTTTTCTCGTTCAGTATCTTGCCAGCAGACTGCCCGTGAGACACAATAGGCACACGGGAGAAGATCAGTTCCTACCGGCAGATATCAGGCGGGTTGTGAAGCAGGCCACTCGGAAGGTGAGGAGCTGGCAGGGATGTGGGGCCAAGTATGGCAGGATGGGTTTGTGCGAGCTCAGCCTGTGTCACAGGGAGGAAATGCGGGGTGCCAAGCGTGCCTCTGATGGGGGGCTCCTGTGCTTGTTCCAGGCCTGCTATGTCTGTGGTGAGCGGGGCGCCACAATTCTGTGCCGGCAGAAGGGCTGCAAGCACAGCTTCCACTTCCCGTGTGGATCTCAGGACGGCTGCGTCTGCCAGTTCACTGGCAAGTACAAGTAAGAGCTGACGAGCCTCATGCACTGCCACCTCTGCCTTCTACAGCCTCACACTAGCACTGGTCTAGTAGGTGAGGAAGCAGTTTGCTGTGTCCCATGGTGACTCTGCCAGGACTCTGCCACACACACAGGCAGAGCGTCCAAGTCTCCTTGATGTCCTTTGGCCCCTGCTGCGGGTGCTGGAGCATGGTGGAAAGGTCTGCCCTCTGCACAGCGCCGTCAATCCCTTGATCTCGGGCTCTAAGAGCACAGGATGCCTTCTTGACCCAGACCTGGAAAATCACTCTCTTTGCCAGCCTCCTCTCTGCGGTCAGAGTTTCCCTCCCGGTCGCCATGAGAATGAACGTGCCCATCTCTTATGCATGCCACCTGGGCCTCAGCATGAACCTGATACTGGGGTCCGTGGGTGGGAGATTGTCTGGGGGGAAGATGGAAAAGGGAAGAGAGACATGCACATGCTGCCTGGGGAGCAGCTTGCCTCTACACCCTTTGGGACTGTCTGGTCTAGACACATGGATGAACTCCTCATATCCTGACTAAATCTCCCTCTTCCCAAATCTTCTGCCCAGGTCCTTCTGCCGGGATCATCGTCCAGAACAAACAGTAGAGGCACGGCAGGATGAGGAGACTTCCTGTCTTGTATGTCTGGAGCCGGTGGAGGAGAAGCTCTCCTACCACACGATGGTGTGCCCCGCGTGCTTGCACGCATGGTTCCATCGAAGCTGCATCCAGGTACCAGGCCCCTGCTGTGCTCCTTTGACATAGCAGGTACCCAGGAAGAAGCAATGTCCCGCTCATGCTGCTTGTGCCTCTCTTGCAGAAACAGGCTCTGCGCTCTGGGTTGTTCACCTTCCAGTGTCCCCAGTGCAAAGACACTAAGAAATTTCTGACAGAAATGTCTACCATGGGGATCCGAATCCCCATCAGGTTGGTTCACCGCTGCCCTTGCCCACTGCTCTCAAGACATAAGCAGAGCACGAGACTAAGGCTGTAGCAGGGGAGGCCAGAAAGCTGGGAAGGTCTGGCAGCTTCTGGTCCTCCGGATAGGGGAGGCTGAAGACATTCCTTTCCTCCACCTGTAGGGAACCAGCATGGGAGGCAAACAGTGCCTTTGATGAACTGTACGAGAGGCACAACCAGTGCAATGCAAGCCAGTGCCTTTGTCCAGGAGGCAGAGAACAGGCAGAGGAGGCAGGGTAAGACACCAAAGCAGCAATTTTCTTGCTGCCCGTGTGGAGGCAGGTGCCTTAGCCGTGGTCTGGGTAGATGTGAAAGGCCTTAGTGAGGTGCAGAGCCTGCCTCTGGTAGAGGAGAGGAAGAGAAAGGAATGGCCCTTTGACCTGGGGACACTGCACTGCCAGGGCAGGAAGGATGCCACCGCTGGCATGCACCATGCAGTCTTCCAAGCAACTGAGGACTTCTCTGGGGCTGTGCCCAAGCTCTTCACCTCCCTCTGGGAGCAAGGACTCTTCGCACTCGCTCTCAGGACCCGCTTAGGGGACTGTGATGGGCACCCTCTTACTGGGATCACTCTTCCCGCGCTGCCTCACTTGTGTAACTGCCAGCCTTGGCTGCTGCGGACACCAATGCATTTGTTTTCCCAGGCCCTGGCACCTGCTCCTCTGCTCCTCCTGTGCTGCCAGGGGAACCCACCGACGCTGCTCTGCCTTGAGGGCCACAAGAAACACATGGGAGTGTGATGACTGTGCAGGCCTGGGCACTGGTAAGAGGAGAAACAGGACTCCTGTCTACCTTGCAGCTTCCCCCCATGCCAGAGGCAGGGGACAGGCCTAGTCTGCCTGTGGGTGATGAGGGTGGGCTTGGTGGAGACTCTGCACCTCCTGCGGGCCCCGTTCTGGCGTTTCCTGCTCTGGGGGCATGGCATCCTGCTCCTGACCTTCCTGCCTTTCTTGACAGCCTCCAGCGCACAGTTGCAAACAGCCAGCTCCAGCAGCACCAGCCAGGCAACATCATCCCCAAGCTCCGCTGCAGCTCCTGAGAGCAGCAGCCGGGCACGCCAGACAGGGCCAGAACGAAGGCCAGGCCGCTCGCAGTTACAACGCCGCTCACAACACCCTTACAGGCGGCCCTGAAGGGCCAGTGCTACTCCAGACCAACCACGTGCCTCTCAGCAGCTCTGCAAGCAAGTGGAGCCCTGTGTCTTTGCAGCCACCAGTGCCAGCACACACTGCCTCATGCAGGGGACTGTGCAAGGACAGCAGTATGGAATGCCTTGTTAGTAGATAACCAGCCTCAAGGATGGCAGTGCAGCTGTTCTATCAGCAACCGAGGAGCAAAGGAACTGGATGGCTGCTGCTTAACCAGGAAGCTGATTGGATAGTCTTGATGTAATCCTTTAGATTATTGGTTTATTTAGTTACTGTGCGTCGTGTGCTTGAATGTTTGACACCCTACAGACAGAAATTACCTTTGTTGGAGGTTGTCAGTTATTTTTTGTGACATATTTAAAATAATAACCAGGAATCTTCATATGCATATCTGTTCAAGTCTCAGCTGAGCCACACTTTAGGTTTCTCATCTTTCTATGAACAGCTACCTTTTAACTCCACTTGAAATTTAAGACTATCAGAATACTGAACCTGAGTATATGTTGAGTGATTTACATGGATTCGTGTGCAAGTAAGTATATTTATACCACTACAGGATTACTTTTATTCTGCAAATAAAATGTTATATTTTATTACTGAAACAAGTGTGCTTCTATAGTGCAAATAAATCTGACTACTACAACCCAAAATTGCTCCTGAGATTTTTTTCAGAGAAAATCAAAGGACTACATTTGTTGAGAAACCTAGATATTCCACACTGCAACAGTCCGAAGTGAGAGCAGCAGCCGGGCAGACCAGACAGGGCTAGAACGAAGGCCAGGCCACTCGCGGTTACAACGCCTCTCACAACACCCTTACAGGCGTCCGTGAAGGGCCAGAACTGCTCCAAACCAACCACGCAGGGCAAGTGGAGCCCTGCATCTTTGCAGCCACCAGTGCCAGCACACACTGCCTCACGCAGGGGACTGTGGCGGCCTGCTTCAAAGACAGCAGTATGGAATGCCTTGTTAGTAGATAACCAACCTCAAGGACAGCAGTGCAGCTGTTCTGTCAGCATAGTGCCTATGCTCCACGTGTACTAAACTGGAGAGACAAGGCACCTCAAAACAGGATCCAAAATCTTTGTTTTAAACTACTGAAGAAAATTCAGAATGTTTGCTGTGACTGCCTATTGCATAGCGGTACTGGAATTTGCCCAGATCTGAACATAGATTTCCTGATCCTGAAGTGACCCTCCTTCTGGAAAATTTCTGAGTGCCAAATGATG